ACAACAACAGCAGCAGCAGCAGCAGTACGCCCACGCCGACGGAGACGAGCCGCAGTACCAGGAAGGCGCCTACTACTCCGACGACGACTACGAACACACATATGGCGCCAACGGCGACTACCAGCAGCCCTACGGCCACGCCCCAGTGCGCGGCGGAGCCAGCAAGAAGTCGCGCCGGAAGAAGAAGGCGCCCTCTGCGCCGCCACCGCTCGCCTACACACAACACCTCGCCCCCCGCCAGAGCCCCGCCAGCAACTCGCATGCCGTCTCGTCGTCGCACGCAATCCCCCGCTCCGCCTCGAGCAAGGACCGCATATGGAACACGTCGACGGCCGAGGAGCGCGAGCGCATACGCGACTTTTGGCTCTCCCTCGGCGAGGATGAGCGCAAGTCGCTCGTCAAGATTGAAAAGGAGGCCGTCCTGCGCAAGATGAAGGAGCAGCAAAAGCACTCGTGCAGCTGCACCGTCTGCGGCCGCAAGCGCACCGCCATCGAGGAGGAGCTGGAGGTTCTGTATGATGCATACTACGAGGAACTCGAGCAGTACGCGCACCACCAGCAAGACGTCGCTAGTTTCCTTCCTGAGGCTAATTATCGCTATGCGTCCAGTGCTCCTCACCCGCGCCCCATGCTCAACCCCCCGCAACCATCCCACGGCCCCTACGACGACGACGAAGACGACGACGACGACGACGACGAAGAGTACGACTCGGCCGACGACGACGAAGACTCCGAGTACGACAGCGAAATATCCTCCGAGGGCGACTACAGCTCGGGCGAGCCCAGCCTGCCCCCGCCAGAGCCCTCGGATTTTCTGCAGTTTGGCAGCAGTCTGCAGGTCAAAGGTATGCACACATAGGCCACCAACCCCCCCCCCCCCCGGGAGCATGCTGATTCATCCGTCTAGGTGGCATACTCACAGTCGCTGACGATTTGCTCAAGAACGATGGGAAAAAGTTCATCGAGATGATGGAGCAGCTGGCTGAGCGCCGCATGCAGCGCGAGGAAGAGGCCCAGTTTTCCGCCCATCCAAACATGCAGCATCGCTCCTACACGGGCCACAGCCACAATGCCCCGCCGCCCGACGAAGACGACTACGACGACGAGGCAGAGGACGACGAGGAATACGACGACGACGAGTACGACGAGGATGAGGACGATGAGGAAGTGCGTATCCTGTGCTGCACTGTCGACTTGCCACTAATTCACCCCAGGGGACCATGACGGAGGAGCAGCGCATGGAGGAGGGGCGGCGCATGTTTCAGATATTTGCTGCGCGCATGTTTGAGCAGCGAGTACTGCAGGCATATCGGGAAAAGGTCGCTGCAGAGCGCCAGCAGCGTCTGCTGGAAGAGCTGGCAGAAGAAGACATACGGAAAGATGCAAAGGAGGCCAAAAAGGCAAAGGAGGCCCAGAAGCGAAAGGAGAAAAAGGACAAGCAAAAGCAGCTCAAGGCCGAGGAAAAGGCTCGCAAAGAGGCGGAACTCGCCGCAAAGGAGGCAGAGGCAAAGGCCGCCGAGGAAAAGCGCCTCGAGGAGCAGCGAAAAAAGCGCGAAGAGCAGCGCAAGAAGAAAGAGGCCGAGCGCAAGGCCCACGAGGAGGAGAAGCTGCGCAAGGAGGCCGAGCGGTTGCGGCGCCAGCAGGAAGAGCGTGAGCGCCAGCAAGAGGCCGAGCGCAAGGCACGCGAGCAAAAGGCGCTCGAGAAAAAGGCAAAGGATGAAGCCAAGCGGAAAGAGCGCGAGGAGCGCGAGGCCAGGGAAAAGGAGGCAAGAGAGAAAAAGGCACTCGAGGAAAAGGAGCGCAAGGAACGTGAATCAAAGTCAAAGACCGACACCAAGGATCGCCCGCGCAAGGAGGACCAGGCGGCGGCGGCGGCGGCGGCGGCAGCAGCAGCTCACAATGCCATTGCAGGCGCAAAAAAGGCACCGCAACCGCTGGCTGTCGCGCTGCCTCCCCAACTGCTCAAGCAGACGTCGTCTACCGGAACGCCCTCGCCGCATGTCACACCCGCTATCCCCAAGGCACCCACCCCAAACCGCCCACGGCAAACGTCGCAGCAAAATTCCCATGGCTCCTCGCCCAAGACGCCCCACGCCATGCTGGGAACGAGCAAGTCGACATCGCCGTCTTCGCAGTCGCAGGGACAGTCAATACCACGGTCCATCCTGACAAAGCCCCCTATTCCGCACCAGCCCATGCCTGCACTACACGGCCAGCCGACATCGCCAATGCCCCCCATGGGGCCTCCGCCGGGCATGCCAGGGCCGCCAGGGCTGGGCATGAGCAACATGCCTCCGGGTCTAAACGGATTTGCCAGCCAAGCGTCCATGGTCCCGGGACTCATGGGTCCTCGTCCGAACATGCCCTTTTTTCCCCAGCCCTCGCCGCAAAGCTTTCGTGGATTCCCGCCCCCGGGCATGCACACTCCGGGCACCCTCCCCATGGGCCGGGGGTTCCCAATGGACGGGCCGCCTGGCTTTCCCGCGCCCCCTGGATTCACTGCACCAATGCCGTCTGCCTTTCCTATGGGCATGCCGACCCATTCTCGGCAGGGGTCTGGATCGTTTGAGCGAATGTCCAATGTCGAGAGTCCCATTGCCGCTCCGCAAGCGCAGCCCATTCAGCGACCAGCACCCATCCAGCGGCCGTCGAGTGTCAAGCCGGGTGACGATTCCAGAGGCGATGTCGATGAGCTCGCAAGCCATCTTGGAAGCAAGGCCTTGTTGGACGATGAAGACGACATGCCCGAGTTGCCCGAACGACGACCTAGCCTGCAGCAACACGCGTCTGTGAGAGCGCCGTCGTTTGGCTTTGCAGACATGCCGGGTTCGCAGTACGGGTCGTTTGGCGGGCCAGGCGGAGGCAGCATCTGGGGCACACCACCGCTGCAGGGCTTTGCTGCCGGAGCTACCTGGGGCCACTCGCCCACGTCCAATATGTTCAACAGCCCGTTTTCGGCTCGAGGCCATGAACGCAACGCAAACGAACCGCGCATCGTGTGGCTTCGGCGCACCATCTGCATTGCTTGCAAGACGCTAGCGCCTCGCACCGCGGATCCAGAGGGCTATGTCGACGCCTCAGAGGTGCACCGGCAGGTGGATACATTGCGGAATGCGCTTGAACCTGCCGTATCCATGGACGAGATGAAGGAGGCTTGCGACATTCTTGACGTGACGCAAACCAACGGTGGCGGCAGCCTCGAATACAAAGAGGATAATGGCCGTCTTTCGCACATCAAATTCTGCGACAGCGCACCGCCGCCACCGGCCCTGGGCGAGATTGGCAGTCCTATTCCTAGCCACAGTGTGCTGGCCGGTGGTTTTGGAAGATTTCCCGGCCTCGGCCCGCAGGGCTTTTGATCATTTGGTCCCGCATTTTCATCTCCTTTTCTTTTTTTTGGCACAGGTGTTGTCCGTAATTTGGCGCACTTTGCCCGGCCTCTTTACATTCTTCGACTCTTGAGATAATCCAGTAGTGCTCTGCAAGAAGCGAGCAATCTACTTGCTGCCTGCTGCTTGCTGCTTGACTGCCTGACTACTTGACTTGTCCGTGATGTGATGTGATGTGATGCTATGCCATGTCTAGCCGGCGTCAACGAGACGAGATGGTTGGAGGACACTGAGAATGTGTTGGCGAGTAGCACCGGCCGGCTCCACCACATGCAGGAGGGGCAGTGACGGTGGTAAGAGGAGCGGTCAAGCTCTCCGCCAACCCCGCAGTCGCTCAGCAGCAGCTGTAGCATCAGCGGGCGCAACGTAGCAGTGGCAACGTAGTGGCCATGCCGTGGTGGTAGCAAGAATGCAGTGGGTTCTGGTACTAGAAGCCCTGCAACTGCAACAAGCATGGCCCCTTTGGGCTAAGAATAGCCCGTTGAGCTGGTGGTGGGCATGTGCATGTTAGCCAGGTACGAGTGCAACGTCATCCGAAGCGGGCAGAGGGAAGCTGGCCCTGCAAACCAATCCCTGCTAGCGTGGGTAGGTGGGGCAACTTCTCTGGCAGCTGGCTTGCATGAGGCTGCTCAGCACCACCACCACCACTACAGCTGTAACATACATCAATAGCTTCGTCCTCCTCCCCCCGCCCCTTTCAGCTCCCACCTCTCTGCACCTCCCCCTCTGTTTTTTCTTCTTTTTCCGACTTTGCCGTTGGACTTGGTTTATCTTGTTCATTTTTTTTTCTCTCAGCATAACACAATATGTCTGACGCCATTGCCGACGCTGCGCAGAAGCACCCCGCGCCTGAGGGGCTGGTGTATACATATGGCACTGCGGGAGTAAGGAACTAGCCGATCCGATGGGATATGAGGGATGCTTGGGCTGACAATGCGGATGATAGTTTCGAACAAAAGCGTAGGATGGCCCTGCTGGAGATTGTTGCATCGCTGCTACGTTTTGTCTTTTGCATATCCTGCCCATCATCCACCGCACATCCCACTGGGACTCAACTAACAGCCACAGCGATGTCCTCGACTCGGTCTTGACCCGCGTGGGCATGATTGCAGCCCTCCGATCACGAGCACTCAAGGGCAAATGGATTGGAGTCATGATTACTGCCTCGCACAACCCGCCTCAGGACAATGGAGTCAAGCTCGTTGAGCCCATGGTATGTTAGGCAGCACAGTGGCAATGATGACGACTAACTCGTAATAGGGCAACATGCTGCAGGTATACCGTTCGTTTCCCCTCGACCGTACCGACCTAATACAATGTAGGAAGATTGGGAGGTCATCAGTACCGAGATGGCCAACAAGCTCACGCCCGAGCACGTCTCAAAATACTATCACGACATTGCAACCCAGCACAAGATTGACCTCAGCACCCCTGCTCGCGTGGTCGTGGCCCGCGATACAAGGGCATCTGGGTCGAGGCTACTTGGATGTCTCGTGGATGGCCTCAACGGCGCTGGCGCTGAGATTAAGGACTACGGCTTTTTGACTACACCCCAGTTGCACTACATGGTCCGATGCCTCAACACACAGGGCACACCCGACGCTTACGGCGAGCCTACGGAAAAGGGCTACTACGAAAAGTTTGGCGCTGCTTTCAAGACGGCCCTGCGTGGCAAGCAGCCTTCTGGCAGCTTGACTGTCGACTGTGCCAACGGTGTTGGTGGGCCCAAGCTAAACGAGCTCATCAAGTACCTGCCATCCAAGGACGAGGGCGGTCTGGAGATTTCGGTCATCAACGACAATGTCATCAAGCCCGAAAGCTTGAATGTCGACGTAGGTGGCTTCGACTCGAATATGTTCAGTGCTGACAGAAACAGTGCGGTGCAGACTTTGTCAAGACGAACCAGCGAGCGCCCCCATCGTCCAAGGCTGGCCCCGGCGACCGATGCTGCTCGCTCGATGGCGATGCCGACCGCGTGGTGTACTACTTCAAGGATGACAAGAACGTGTTCCGCCTGCTGGATGGCGACCGCATTGCTACGCTTGTGGCTTCGTTCCTGGGCGACACGGTGCGCCAGAGTGGGCTTGCCGACAAGGTGACGATTGGTGTTGTGCAGACGGCGTACGCCAACGGGGCGGCTACAAAGTATGTCGAGGACACGCTCAAGCTCAAGGTCGACTGCACGCCTACAGGTGTCAAGTACCTGCACCACGCGGCCGAAAAGCTCGACATTGGCGTCTACTTTGAGGCCAACGGGCACGGCACCGTCATCTTCTCGGCTGACACGCTGGACACGATTAGCAAGCACGAGCCGCGCAACCCTGGCGAGAAGGAGGCTCTCGACGTGCTGCGTGCATGCATCAACCTGATCAACCAGTCTGTGGGCGATGCGCTGTCGGACTTGCTGCTGGTGGAGGTGGTGTTGGCTCACAAGCGCTGGGGGCCGCAAGAGTGGCTGTCAACATACAGTGACCTGCCGAACCGGCTGCTCAAAGTGATTGTCAACGACCGCAAGATCTTCAAGACTACTGACGCGGAACGAAGACTTACGTCACCCGAAGGGCTGCAGGCGCAGATCGACAAGGAAGTGCAAAAGGTGCGCCAAGGGCGTTCGTTTGCGCGTGCGAGTGGTACCGAGGACGCCGTTCGTGTGTATGCAGAGGCCGAGACACGGGCCGAAGCCGACGACTTGGCGAGAAAAGTACACGATCTTGTCAAGGCGGCTGGTGGCGCCTAGAAGCTGCCACAGTTGTTGCACGCGGGTCAGGGGGGCGGGGCGGATGAGAGCAAGAAGAGGGACAGCTTCAGCATGGATGATTTGTTTGGAAGCGATAGCAGTGGGTCCAAGGACGGTGCAGTCATGGTGAGAGTGGGGTATGTTGACAAGGCATGGGCCAGCGAGTCTTCTTCGGACTCGCTGGGATGGATATGATGGATGACGAGCGAAAAGTATGGAGTGAATTATTTGTTTGACAGGCGATTACTCGTACGGCTGCTCTTGGTGCACTGCTCGCAGCTGGCATGACTGCCAGGCCGGGCATTCGGCAAGGCCGTGGCCAATGACCAGTGGCGCCACGTGCGAGCGAGACCCCCTCGAGCATAAAAAGTGGTCATTTGGCTGTGAGGTGAAACGACAGTCGGGATATTGCAGCCTTACCCCGGCGAGGCGAGCTGGACGGTATCATCTCGGCCGTTTTGTTTTTGATTGTCTTCTGGAGACGATATGCGCCAGTCGAGTGTGAGTGTGTGTGGCGGTGCAGGCAGGGCGTGGGAAGGGGCAAACCGAGGCCAGGCACAGGCACAGGCACAGGCACAGGCACAGGCACAGGCACAGGCACAGGCACAGGCACAGGCACACACACGTGTCGGCTGCTAGCGCTCGGCCAGCTGTCGTTCCTCCGCAAAAAATGATGAGCTACTGGCGATCCTTGACCTAGAGGCCTCGCAATTGCCCCGAATCCATGTTCCAGAAAGCCAAAAATAACCCGCCTCTGCATCTCCATGTCTCCATGCTGGCGTTAACCCGGTGGAGCGCAGCAGCGAATCGGCGGGCGTGCCTGATGCAGGGCAGGCATTGGCGTGTGAAGGGGCTAGCACATCGTCATCTGCCCCGACTCACTCTCGACAGGGAACACACTCCACCACCACCACCACCACCACCACCACCACCGCCACCGCCGCCGCCGCCGCACTTGACTTTTGCCTTTTTCCACTCACTCCATCACGGGCGGCCTCCTCTCATTTCTGCCCTGCCTTTCTCTACGTCTTTCAACCTCTTGTCAGCATCTTCCAGCGTCTTGCCTGCATCTGTCGTTTTTCTCTTTCTTCTTTTCCCCGCCACACGCCCGTTGCGTAGCTGGCCTCCGCTTCGCACTACTGGTCCCCCGAGCATCACCTGCACGAGACATGCGCTGAGATCATTTACACCTTTTCTATCTCTTGCCAGATACTCGCTGCACTCGCTGCACTTGCTGCACTCGCTCGCTCGCTCCACAACCCCATCGCCATGGAATCCACCACCCCCAGCTCCCTCCGGCGGGACCTGAGCATCGAGCAAAAGTTTGAGCAGCTCATGTCTAACAACCCTCTGGGCGCTCAAGTATCCCAAGACTCGGTCCTGGTCGCCATCGGCACCTCGTTTGGCATCACCGCCGCCCTTTTCCTTGCCTTTTTAATCCTACGGCCTTTTAATACCATTGTTTATGCGCCGCGCCTTCGCCACGCAGACGAAAAGAGGCGCCCCCCACCCTTGGACAAGAGCCTGTTTGCCTGGTACAAGCCCGTCTTCAAGACGTACGAGCCCGAGTATGTTGACAAGATTGGCCTGGATGCCACCTTGTTTCTGCGCTTTGCCCGCATGTGCAGGAACATGTTTTTTGTCCTGGCCGTCCTGGGCTGCGCCATCATTGTGCCCGTCAACGTGACCAATTCGGTGCAGTTTCAGGAAAAATTCCAGGGCTCGCTGGGCTCCAAGATTATCTTTCTCATGACGCCCAGAGACTTGTTTGGCGAAATCTTCTGGGCTTTTGTCGGCTTTGCCTACGTCCTCGACATTACCGTGTGCGCCTTTCTCTGGTGGACATACCGCGCCGTGCACCGCCTCCGCCGCCAGTACCTCGAGAGCGCCGAGTACCAGAACAGCCTGCATTCCCGCACCCTGATGATTACCGATATCAACCGCAGCAACCGCAGCGACCAGGGCATCGTCGAGATTGTGGATACGCTAAAGACGACGCCCGAGGTACCCCGCGTATCCATTGGACGCAACGTCAAGGATGTTCCTGATTTGATCGAGGAGCATGAAGAGGCGGTCGTGGAGCTGGAAAGGGTCCTGGCAAAGTACCTGAAGAACCCCAATCAGCTGCCGGCCGAACGCCCCCTGTGCACGCCGTCCAAGAAGGATGCCGAGTTTAGCGACCCAAAGCAAAAGGTGGATGCCATTGACTATCTCACGGCCCGCATCCAGCGCCTCGAGGCCAAGATTAAAGAGGTGCGCGAATCCATCGACAAGCGCGACGCCCTCTCGTACGGCTTTGCTAGCTATGAGACCATCACCTCGGCGCACACGGTCGCATTCAACGCGCGCAGCAAGCACGTCAAGGGCACCACGGTGCGGCTGGCGCCCAAGCCAAGGGACATTATCTGGAAGAACCTGACGCTGGATCCCAAGACGAGGCGCTGGCGGAAGCTGGTCAACAACTTTTGGATCATGCTGTTGACGCTGCTCTACTTTATTCCCAACGCCCTCATTGCCGTCTTTTTGTCCAAATTGTCCAACCTGGGCTTTGTGTGGCCCACGTTTCAGACGGAGCTGGCCAGACATGCAAACTTTTGGGCCGTGGTGCAGGGTCTGGCCGCGCCCGCCCTCACGTCGCTGTTTTACTACTTTTTGCCCGTCATCTTCCGCCGCCTCTCAATCAAGTCGGGCGACCAGACCAAGACCAGCCGCGAGCGCCACGTAACGGCCCAGCTGTACGCCTTTTTCGTCTTCAACAACCTGTTTGTCTTTTCGCTCTTCAGCGCCGTCTTTGGCATGGTGGTCATGATTGTCAACCTCGCAAGTCAGCAAAAGGTGCCGTTTATGGACATTCTCAAGTCGATTGCCTTTTTCGACACCACGATGCGCACCCTCTGCGAAGTATCGCCGTTTTGGGTCACGTGGCTCGTGCAGCGCAACCTGGGCGCCGCCATTGATCTCGCCCAAGCCGTCAACCTGGCCTGGGGTAGCTTTTCGCGCAAGTTTCTGAATCCAACGCCTAGGGAGCTGATTGCCAGGACTGCGCCGCCGCCCTTTGACTATGCGAGCTACTACAACTACTTTTTGTTCTACTCTACAGTGGCCTTTTGCTTTGCGCCCCTGCAGCCGGTCACGCTCGTTATTGTTGCCATTTACTTTTCGCTCGACAGCTGGATGAAGAAGTATCTCCTCATGTACGTCTTTGTCACCAAGAACGAGTCTGGCGGTGCATTCTGGCGCGTTCTCTTCAACCGCATGCTCGTTGGCGTTTTTCTGTCCAACTGCATTGTCGCGCTTTTGGTCGTCGCTCGTGGCTTTGCGTTCAAGTGGAACATGCTTGCCGCCCTGGCGCCACTTCCGCTTGGTTTACTTGCATTCAAGTTTTATTGCAAGCGCACCTTTGACAACTCGCTCAAGTACTACACCCAGGGCGGCAAGAAGACGAGTGTTGAAGCGCCCACGCCAATTGACAAGGAGTCGAGGAGAAAGGATCGTGTTGCCGTGAGGTTTGGGTATGTATTTTGCCTTGTCATCTGGCGCTGCTAACAATACTAGTCACCCGGCGCTTTACCAGAAGCTCACCGTGCCCATGGTCCACGAAAAGTCCAAGCACCTCCTTGCCGAAGTCTACCGCGGCCGTCTGGATGGTGATGTTGGCGACACGGCAGCCTTTGGCGATGTCTATACCATGAAGCGCATGTCCAAGGAGAATCCCGGAAAAATGGCCAACTCTGCCCCTGCGCCGTTTGAATTCGTCTCGGAATCCAATATGGACTATGAAAACTTCAAGGACCGGCCTGATTTCAACGACGGCGAAGGATCCATGTACGGCGGAAGCAGCATCCATCGTTCCGAGACGCCTGGTTCACACTGGGGCGACCGCGGCTGCTCAGTATCACGAGACTCGGAGAGGACTGTTGATGCTGAAGAGCCTGGAGTCTTGTATCCCACGGGCTACCATCAAACGCCATCCAATCTCCGAGAATACAGTCCCAGTCCTGATCTCGGTCGTCTCGATAGTAGAGAGCATCCATATGAAATCCCGGATGATAGTCGCCATAGCCTTGTCACGAGTGCAGCGCCAATGGGGGCCTCGACGGCCTCGGGACAATATACGCCGTATAGTCCTAGTCGAGATGGGGCGCAGCAGCATCAAAGAGATTATTTCCGGTAATCTACTTTATACCTAGATGGAGTTTGATGCTTGGACGAATTTCTTATCGCTTTATAGAATAATATACCTTTTAATCACGTTATTCTTGGCCAAACGAGCTGGAGCAGGTGTGAGTGAACTTGGAGTGTTGGAACTTACTGACTAGTATTGTTGAATATTATTCATACAGCACGGAGGACGTACGCAAGATACAGGAGAGAATATGCAGATGTGTTGTCCTTTTTTTATGACTCTTTTTCTTTCTGATTTGTTTATTCG